TCTTTTTATTGTCTGTCTCTTCCACTAGAATGTAAACTTTTAGAAGGATTTTTACCTGCTTTGCTTACTACTGAACCCCAAGAGCAAACAACAATGGCATATAGTAGGTGGTCAATAAATATTTGCTAAACGAATGAACTGCTTTTCTTGGCACCTAAATGAATCTGCCCCACGGAGGGAGGGGCTCCGTGTGCCTCTTGTATGTGTCGCCCATGCTCCCAGGCTGCCCGCGGAACTGAGATGTCCCGTGTCCACACCCGGAAGCAGGGCCCTCTCTCAGGGTTCACGCTTCAGCCCGGGGCGTGCGGTGAGAAAGGAGGCTGCGTGGGACCTGTGTTCATAGTTAGGAAAGAGAGTAATAGCTTATGCTCTTTGCTCCATTTGTGACAAGTACATATTATACCAGCCTGGCACACATTACAAAGTTTAATATTTGGTTGTATATGTATTCCTCAACCTACCTTTGTGAGTAAACGTTTTCCCAAATATATGTGTTAAACATGACTATTCCAGAATGAAGGGAAGGGAGGAGCAAACCACAGTAGTTAAGTTGTAGATCTCAGAGCCCTGATTCTGCCACTCACTCACCTTGTGACCACCTATAAAATGGGAATAATAATAGTGCCTGCATCATGGAGTACTATGAATGAACACACAAAGTGCTTAAAAGAGTGCCTGACACACAATAACAACTATAGAAGTGTTAGCAATTAACATTATTTAGCATTATTATTATTTCTCTTTGAATAATGGTCTTGAGCTAAACCAGTTTGCTTTTATTACTAGTAGCATGTTTTTTAATGTTATTATAACATATTATAGTAAAGAATCTGGCATTTTATTAACCAGAATGCCCTCTGGACTGGCATTTATGCATATAGAGCAAAGAAAGATATTTATATTGATAAGTCTAGGTCATTGGGAGATCTTGAGTTAGCTTCTGAATTATCAAAGTTACTATAGCTTTGGGGTTGAGTGGATTTTATTGTAAAGAAACAAACTATTTCTTTGAATAATTTTTTTTATTAGCTTTGGGTGTATAAAACAACATAATGTTTAGACATTTAACCCCTCACATTAACTACTTTTTTGAAATGTGGAAATCCATAAGCAGCAGTGTGCAAAAATCCTTCAATAAGTAGTGCACAGACTACTGTAATTCTAAAGATGAAGAGAGTTTGGGAACCGACAGTATTCTGTGCAGTTCTGCTGCACATCCTTTCGGCCAGAGGTGCTGGCCAACGGGGAAAACACTGGATGATCTGGGCAGATATATAGAGGCCTCAAAGTTGCCTGATTTCTCCAGCACCGTCTTGTCCCAGCCCAACCCTCCTAGGATCGTTTCAAGTTTGACTGTAACCCCCAAACCCTCTAGCATATTTGTTATGCGTCAGGAATCAGAAGGTGCTCCCCAGCAGTCTTTGTTCTGCTCTGTCTCTCCGCCATTACCTGAATGATGACCTGACTTTGTCACCAACATCTGCAGCCCTTGGGAATGGGATAGGCAAGAAGTTGACACAGAGCAGTAAGGACCAAATAAATGAGATTAAGCTCAGGGTGTGAAAGAAAAATGAATGGAAGAGGAATTCAATTCATGAAGGCGGGACAAGTAGATTGTAGGCAGAAAAAATGGGAAAATTTGAACTTTCAGGAGCCAAAGGTTCTAAATGATGTTTGCTTGATATTTGCATATATAATATTACTCGCCACGTGTTAAGCAGTGTAGTGTTAGGTGGTTTATGTACAATTTCTTCTTTAATCTTCAAACCTGTAAGGAAGTTACCATTCTCTCCATGTTACTAAGATCTGGAGGTTCAGAGAGACTGCCTAAGGTCACAGAAGCACTATTTACAGCTGAGGGATTTGAACAAAGCTCAGTCTGAATCCAAATCCTGTGTCCTGTGGCATCCAGAGCTGGTTCAATAGGACAGGCAGATAACCGAGGAGAAGCTATCCAGAAATGTCACTGTTCACAAGAGGTAGAATCCTAAGGAATAAGCCATGTAGTGCATAAAGAATAGCTTTTTCGGAAATGGAATTTTAAAAGGAGCAAAATTTTAAATGCTATCACTTTGCTGCAGCATTAGAATTATATTGGAACATTAGTCACACATTATGTTAAAAATACTGGAGTAAGAGCACATGGACTAAAAATGATTGAAGACTTTAAACAAGGGATAAATGGGGACAAGTAAGGAAAGGAAGGGAGGGAAATTTTAGAAGGGCGTGTGTGTGTGTGTGTGTGTGTGTGTGTGTGTG